CAATCGCGAATATCTCACTTATTATCAAAGATGGAGTATTATAAATAAAACATATGGGCAACTTTTTACGAAGAATTCAGTGGCGTAGGAAGAATTTTTTTCTCATCTTTTATTTTCGAGATTTTAGACGTAACTTTATTTTTTTAAATGGAAACCATAGTTGGCTATGACCTAAAATAATTTGTTATTTTCTTCTGATAACAAATATATATAGTTTGTGGGGTATATTTTTTATAGTTATTGAATAATTAACAAAAATTCATTTTGTTCTACCTAAAACTAATGTATGTATTTAAAAGTTAATGTTGCTATGGTGATAACCATACATACATACATACTATGATGGAACATAATGTTAATTATGTTCAATCAATTTTTTTTGTTCTTTCTGAAACTATTGTATGTATTTAAAACTTAACTGTTGTTATGGTGATAACCATAACCACGATGGAAGACATTGTTTCCAATATTGCCAAAGTTTGTAGCAGTATTAAAAAATTCACTAACAACTCTGGCATTATGTGCTGGTGCTCCGTCATATTGAAAATATATCATTTGAGACATATTTAATGGCAAATTGTCGACCAAAGGCTCAATGTGCTGCCTTAATACATTGAGGTATTTACCTTAGTTTAAGTTTTTGTGGTAAATACTAGACGGATTTTTTGCGGCTCTCCAAGGCGTTTGAGTGAATTTCCAATTTTTATTTTTATTTTTATCAAATATCCAATAAAATTTGCAGCATTCCATTTAAAATAACGAAGTTCTAGGCTACTTCCGGTACACTGGATGTGGCAGCCATCTTGAAATTATTTTAAATCGAAAGATTGGGATGAAACTTAAATATTTCTAACGGTCTAATTGCGCGGAATTTCATGTACAAGAAAGAGCTGTGCTCACACATATAGAAGATCATAATTTTTGGTAATTTCTCCACAGATTCTCATCCTGCATACCTTGTTGTCTTCTAAAAAGAGCAAACTTTACGTAGAAGGTAAAAAAGAATTTTTCTACAATACTCTTTAATTTGATGAATAGCACGACCAGATCGGTCATATCTAACTCGTCAAATTACCCTAAAAAAAATCATAGCTCTAAAACGTATCCATAGAAAAAATTTTAAATGTGATTTTTGGGTTTAGGAACCAAACTACATAAGAAAAATATAGTGGCGTTAAATATACATTTTATGTTTTTTTTTGGCTAGTGTTATTAGTAAATCTACTAATATTTAAACCGTTGTATTTTAGAATAACCCAATATCATCAATAGAATAATTTCTTTAACTGTAAGGTTTCAGTCAAAGTGAGTTATTAATAAGATAATATTCGGTAATGTATCACACGACGCAAATATTTTTAATAATTCAAAAATAAAAGCAATATTTAAATCTAATGAAATAAGAGACAATGTTTTGTTGGGGGATAGTACGTATCCACTGTGTCATTATTTAATTACACCTATAAAAAATCAATGAAATCTCCAAGGATTAGGAGATTCAATGTATTATCTTATGAAATTCGTTGTAATCTGCTTTTAGCGTAACAAATTATTGTAGCGACAACATTACATAGAGATGAAATTGATAACCACGATGAAGCTTGCGATGCTGCAAATATCGAAAATTCTAAAAAAATCTCACTATTTCTTAAAGTATTTGTACGGATAAATTATAGTTGATAATTGTTGCTTGGGTATTTCACTTAATTTTTGTCATTATATCGCTGGCAGGAGATGGTGCTGGCAGTCATACTAATGGAAAATTAGATAATATTAATAGAAGACTTAATACTGCTTACAGAAGACTGGATACTGTTGACAGAACTAATTGAAGACTAGGTACTGTGAAAGGAAGACTAGGCATTGTAAATAGAAGACTAGATATTGCTGCCTAAAATTTATATAGTTTGGGCAGGATATTACATGTTACTGGGAGACGATTACACTCTACTGCTGTTACAAGACTACATTCTGCTAAGAGAGGGTTCAAGAGAACACTAATGCAAAACTGGATACTGATTCAGAAAATTATATACAGCTGGTAGAACACTAGACATTATTATTTGAAGACTAGATACTGCCAAAAAAAGACACGGTACAACTAATGGAACACTAGACACTGCTAATAGAGGAATAGATACGTCTGTCAAAAGTTTATATATAATACAGGCTGTCCCGAAACTCAACGTCAAGCGGGCACCGGGTGAGAGGCCAACCCATACCTGTTCTGGTAAAAATGAGGAGAAAAAAATTCCATGTCTTTTAGTTAAGTGGTAATAGACATACTTTTGAAAATGTTAAAAATCGATCCTGTAAATCATATCTTTAGGTACTACGGTCAGAAATGTTCACAATTTAATAGTGATTTTTTTAATAATGTATTCCTTGTGAACCATGCTACTGTAGATGTCACAAATCAAACAACAAAAGTCGTTAGTTTTGCAAAAAGATATATTAATTTAATGAAGTAAATAATTAATGGAGTAGTACACACCCTTGGCAAGTAATTTTAAAAGATGGCCTGTTTAGTCAAGTTTCCAAAATGGTACAACACTTGCCATTTTTCTTGTCATAAAAAATATTATTGCCTGTTTTTCTGCAAAAAACACATTATTTAAAAAATTCATACTTTTGTATGCTATTTGTATTTACTCTTTATTTCTTCTTAACTTTGTTAGAAGGTGTGCCAGTCAATATCTACGAACTACAAAATGTGGTTTCAACAAGATGGTTGCTCTTATGTCTTGCAAAAAGACTCTTTCAAATAAGGTTAAGCTAAAGACAAAATTAAACAAACAAATTTATTTATTATAAGTTCATTATTTTCTTAAAACTAAGGCAAATGCTCAAAATATTTGCCGTCGGCACTAATACAAGTTCTGCATCGTCACAGAAAAGATCTTTTTACTAGTTGTGCAAGTCTTTTTGCATTTATTTCTTCTGCTGCTGTATAAATATTGAGGCGCAGTTCGGCAAGATTTTCAATCGGTTTTTAATACATTTTCTTTTATGCAATCGTAATAAGAAAATCAAGGGGATTTAGATCCAGAGAATGAGGAGGCCACGCAATCGAATCACGACGCCCAATCCATCTTTCTGGGTATTCTGTATGCAATCCCGTACAGGACAAGCATAATGAGATTAGATACTGCTAAGAGGAGACTCAATACACCCAATGGAAGACTAGATAGTGCTAATGGAAGCCTAGAGGCTGTTAATAGGAGATTAGACACTGCGAATGGAAGAATATACACTGCTAATAAAAGACTACATACTGCCAATACAAGACAAGATACTGTTAACATAACAGACTAGATGCATCTTGTAGATATTAAATGCTGCTGCCGCAAGATTAGATACTACTAGCAAGATGATAAGATACTGCGGATGGAAAAATAAATCCTCCTTAGAGAAGACTAGACACTGCTGCCAGAAAACCAGATACTGCTAATCCAAATCTATAAATTCTGATTAAACAAAATATAATTAAGTTATCTATATTTTAAGATCTAGTTTATATGAAAAGTGGTGTTGCAATTTCTCAAATTAAAATGCGTCTAATGTACAGGTTCCATTAAAAAAGTAAGTATGTTTGTCTATAACTTGTTGATTGACCATATGTGTTATGGTCAATGGTGTATATGTATGTAATTGTTTGTAAATAACATCTGTTTGCTAACTATTATTTATTGCAACATTATTTTTAAAATATATTCAACATTTCCATACATATCAGCATTGCCATTGCATGACTAATACATCATATTAGCATCTTCGAGGCTTTGTTTGTGTTCAGAAAGTTAAAGCACGAAAAAAATTGATAAGTTTGATAACTCTATTGTAACTCTCGTGTTTTTCCACATTTCCGGAAACACTTTTTTCTTCAAACAGTCCTATTCATAACAATTACGCGCTTTCTATCACAGCCAAAACGTTTGCCTTCCTCCATTTCGCCTATTATATTATCCTACATCCAATTCATCCTGTATTGCCCTATTAACTAGCTAATACCTTTATCTATTCTAAAACTCTCCAACAGTCCTCAAAACCAAGAAGGTGGAAATGGACAAGACAGCCCGCGCTGCTGTGCAATTGTATAACAATTAAGATTACGGTCAATGGATTACCAGCAAGACGAGTTTCGGCGCCGGAGGGGGATCCTGCCAAACGAAGTGTCCTCCTCCCATCTCTGTAAGTTTGAAACAAAACTAACGGAAAGCAAAACTTAACATCTTTGTTTTATTTGATCTATCCGTAACTGCTGGAGTCACCAATTGACGAAGCGTATGTAACCGATGTAGCCGTACTGAGTGCGGGAGCTGGAAACGGAGGGGAATCCCGACGGGACAAAGAGACCCCCACCATTGTAAGTCTGATATTAAGGCAATAAAAAGTAAAAATTCATACTCACCTGTAAGTGGAATTCCCAAGTGAAGGAGCAATTGTAGCCTGCCGGGACGAAGAGCCCCCCTCCTAACTGTGTAACTTTGAAACAAAACTAACGGAAGGCAAAAAGTAACATCTTTGTTTTATTTCATTTATACTTGCCCGTAACTGGAGTAACCAACTGACGAAGCTTGATGCAGCCGTATTGGTAGCGGTGGTTAGAAACGAAGGGGGGATGTAGACTGGATGAAGAGCCTCCCTCATACCGTTGTAAGTTTGAAATTAAAGCAATAGAAAGTAGCCTGATTTGACCTTGAATAGGGCTGAAACCGGGGTATACTCCCACAAGACGTAGAACCTTTTTTACCTGGAACTGGAGCTTCTTACTAAACGAAGAAGGACGTTTTTGAACTAAAATTACAGCTAACATTAGAAATTTTCGGGTTTTGCCATGCGTCTTTTAAGAAAAGGTTTAACGTTTCGGATGCCATGTTACAACCTTCTTCAAAAACTGGTTTGAAGTCAAGGTTTCGATATTTTTACTTTACATAACCTAAACGAATAAATGAAACAAATTGTGAACTAATAATGTAATAGAGTTAAAATTACACAAAAAAGAATAAAGAAAATATATTTGTACTTTTTTTACAATAAAATTATGTCCACGATATAAGAGTAGAATACCAAGGTTCTGGCGGTTCAATTTTTGCAGTGTTATAAACCTCGTTCTTGGGTATTGTAAACATAAATCCAATCCATTTACAGATATATATAATTCCATAAATAGCACCGCCCACGAAATACACTACCCACGCAGTCATTCCAGTAAACTTCGGTTTCGACGGACTTTTTTGAAAATATGTAAATGCTAGATCATTGGCTACAACCCAGACTACCAAAGCAACCAGGAGAAGTCCACAAATAGATCCGAGAGCAAAAAATACTGCAGATAAGTAATTTGAATAAACTAAAAAAAAAACATTTTTCTAACTCAGTAAATTAATAGAAAATGAATTCTTACTTAAGCTATAAAGCTTTTCTTTATTTAGATCATAAGGTGGAATAGTTCTTGTGGATTCAGTAAAAATAGTATTATTATTCATTGTACTATAACATTTTGTGCAATGTCGCTGCAGAAGTTGTCTTTTCGACTCGTTTTTTGAGATTATGTTCCGTTGAGGGTCGCTGAACATAACGTCTCTATGGTAGAAATTGTCAGGTTTTTCAGTCGGCAACGTCCATGAACTTAATGAATTCCGCGGACCGAGTGAAACAGGTTTAAGTAATTTTCCGTATTTATCAATTAATCTCGGATCATCCCAAAAAGGTTTCCTTAAAAGAACGTTAATTTGTTTCATAGTTAATCAATTTTTAGGAACCTTACTCATTTTTTAATGATGGCCCAGAAACTGCGGATTGATATAGAGTACCTCCTATTAAACTTGTTGCTTCTGACAACGTAGGTGCTTCAACACTCTTACTTTTGTCATCTTGAGATATTTTTGATGAGGGATCATCACTTTTTTCAGCCAGTTTTGATTCAGAATAATCAGATCTAAAAAGAAAATAGAAAAAGGATTTGTTTTTGGGATTTAAAAAAAAATTACTTTTGAAGTAAAATTTTATTTATTGATTTAAGTGAATCTCCTTTACTTTTTCCAATATTCATTCGAGTAGTTGAAAGTGCATCACTTTGAGAAGGGCTACAACAATAAATAAATTAAAATTGTTACAAGAAAAATTGAAACATTTACAGTAAAAATTTGGATTCGGATTGTGATTTAGTTTTAATTTTTTCTGATGTTGTTGGTGAAACTCTCAACTCTGATTGAGTGGTTAAATGATTTTTTGAAGAGGGTGATCTAGTTCTTCTAAATCTTGGATCAGCACCTGGTATTCTACTGTTCGATACTTTACTTCTTAAAATAGGTTTATTTCTAATAACACGCGAATGTGGAATTTTTGTTATCGCTGTCACCGTACTGCTGCTAACCGAAGAACAAGCAACGTTTGGAACCTTATTGCGTAATTTTTCTGTGGCAAATTTCTTTATACCATCCGACGGTCTAAAACAATCCTAAACACTTAGATAATTAAATAAAAAAGATTTATATTAAATTTTTTACGGTGTTTCAAATTTTATGTTTCTATCCAAATTCGGTTTACTAAGAGTACTATAAGTAGGCACAGCTTTCGGTTTTGGCAAATCCTTTGGAATCGGAATACGCCTTCTAGGTTTAGGTCTTTGTAACACCGGTTCGCTTTCGAATAACTTGGTAGTATTAAAATGTCCTCTTCGTTCACCTTTATATGGATTTCGCAACGGTGGAATGTTATCCCTATCGATCTCTTTCCCCAAATCAATCACTCCTTCATTCACTTCTAAATACAGAACATAAAATAAGCTAAAAAGGACAAATTTTTTTTCTACCAATAATATGTGGTCTATGGTCTTCGTTCTGCATTATAAATTTTCATTTATACCGGAAACTTTCTTTGGGCACTTTGGGCAGGATTTGGCTATCGGCGAACCCACCCTTCTGTGAACAGTCATTTAAAGAAATTTAAAAAATTCTTGAAAATGACAATGACTCAGAAAATAATAAATAAATAAAAATATATGACCAATCTGAGAAGCAGCTATTTTCTTTTAGATTTCCAGAAAAAATATTTGAAATAAAAGCTTATTACAAAACTCAATTAGTAATTAAATTTATAATAAATAATTAATAACATTTTAAATTTCGAAACGTCAAATTTAGGATAATTCGATTTTTACCAATTTTTAGTTGGTACTATATCTTGTCGCCAAACAAAACATAACCTCTAAATCACTTTCCGACAGTTCGTGGTGACGTAAAGTACGTGTTCTTGGTAATTTTGGGTAGACCTGTGGTAAGTTATTTGATCTTTGCTGATTTTCGCTTTGCTTGGTAATTGCTTTTTGCTTGGCTTGGTAATATTAGTAGTTTAGGACGGGGGTGGAAAGCCACCTCCGCCGTTTTGTTATCATGGAGGATCAACTGGACTCTACAGATTTTTTTAGTTGTGCTGTGAAAATAAATCTTAAAGATGCTCTTGAGTTTGTGAGATATATTGAGGCAAACACAACCAACATTCTTGATTCTAGAACATTTAATCATATGAATTTAAACGCTGCACAACGTAAATCGGCCATTGAGCGTGGATGCATCCAGATTAATGATAAAGAAAAATTAATTATTGCGGACGATACTATTAATCTTGGGAAAATAATCTTAGCAGATAAGGGATGCCTATTTGATAATATTTCATTTAATTTTAACAACTTTCGCTTCTCCAATATGGATTCGTCTCCTTTCATCGTCTACATCGAATCTATTGACAAGAATATTACGGCGAATATTATTTCGGCTTTAAGCGATATGAAAATAGGGAGATACATCTATGACCAGATGATACCTGGTGTAAAACTCGTTGAAAAAAGGAGGAAAATAGATTAGCAATAGAATTCAATTCCATATGTCCATGCCAACAAATTCCTAGATGCCAACTTTGATGCGGTAAATAATTGGAGAACATATATACCAACTCACCTGATATCTTGCAAAGCTATCATCCGCAATATAGACCCATCCTTTACCGAAGAGGACATCAAACAAAATTTAATCACAGACAATGAGAGGGAAGTTCTTGCAGTGAGAAGATTCAAAAGGAAAATAGCCAAAGAAGTTCTCCTTTCTTTGACTAAATTTTGTTTGATGTCCTCTTCGGTAAAGGATGGGTCTCATTCAGGCTCACAAATAGAATTTGAATACAGAGATACTTCAACATTATTAGTTACTTTCGCAGGGACGATAATTCCTAATTACATCAAACTATTTTGAATGTAAGAAGAAACGAATTATATACAGCATTAGTAGTAGAATGTCACAAATGTTGTCGATACGGGCACACTAAGAAAATATGTAAATCTAAACTAAGATGTCCCGGGTGTGCGGAGGAACATGATTTCAAACAATGCACAAAAAAGGAAAACCCTAACTGTATTTTCTGTAAGGGTGATCATTTATCTACAGAGATGGGTACTCCTTTTGGTGAGAGAATTTGTCCTGAATTTACAAAGCAATCTACGATAAAAAACTAATGGCAACCTACAACATTTCTGCTTTCGAAGCACTGATGGCGGTTAACAAGACCTCGGACAAACAGTTTGCTATTAATAGACTAAATAATGATATTAATTTTCCTAGGTTACCTTCTAATAGCCAGTCTAGTAAAGGTTTAAATACAAACAGTAACAAAACGACTACACAATCTAAGACAAATTTTACAATTAAGAGAGTAACTAAGTCGCATAATCCAGCAAGTTCTCCTAAACGTAGAAGTGGGGCACCCCCAGAACTTATGTTATTACAGGATGGAAGAACCCCAGAAACTCTAGTTAAGAAAATTCGTCCTACTGAGGAAGGTTTTAATAGAGCCCACTTAAAAGCTAATCTGGAAGAGATGTACGACGCAGACGAAATTAATTATGAGGTGAATGAAAATGAGATAAGATCTCCAACCTTGTCGAACGATAGTTTTGTTTCGGCTTCATTTGTAGCACCATCTATCATTGTTTCCCGTGTACATTACACCAAAAATATGTCTATTTAGTTTAATGGATAACACAAGTTGAAGTATTAATATTATGTTATGGAACTCCTATAGTTTAAGCAGAAACAAGCCGAATCTTTATAATTTTATCGCCGAGTCTCCCCAGGATGTCATAGTCATCTGTGAAACTGGGCTAAAGAAAAATTTTTTGGTAACTACTGATGGGTATGGAGGACTTTCCATTTTGATTAAAAGAGGTGTACAAGCGGCATGGCTAGACGATCCGATGATGATCGAGGAGAGAAGTCATTTTGTCAAGTTCAGGGTGGGAGGTATTACTTTTGTGGCGAGGTATATTCCTCCTGATTTGGGTTTTAGTATTTATGATTGGAACCAATTACTCTTGAATGTTACTGCACCTTTTATTATTTTGTGTGATTTTAATGCACACCATCCTTTATGGGGGAGTTACACTGTAAACGAAAGAGGCCTGGCATTGAGCGAGCTAATTGAAACATTGGTTTTGACCGTAATGAATGAAAAAGAGCAACTTTTTTAAATAGAAATAACAATGTCAGCGTTATAGATTTGATTGTTTGTTCACCGGATATAGTGCGAAACGTTGTGTCAAAAACCGATTCAGACACTTTGGGAAGTGATCATTTTCCTGTTTTAGCTAAGGTACTTACCAGTATTACTCCATTCTCTAGTAAATTGAAAACCCAGAAAACTGATAGGTTTCACTACAAGAAGGCAAACTGGACTAGTTTTTCAGAACACATTGACAACTGTTTAAAGCTGGAAACATCACCTTCTTACGAGGCATTGATAATGGCAATAAGGGAGGCGGCTAATTATTTCATTCCGAAGATTAAGTTAAATGTCAAAACGAATTACCGCTGTAGATGGTGATTGCGCGAGAATTGTGGGACTTAGAAAGATGGTAACCAGGCAGTTTATGACGTGCCCTAGAGAGATTAATTTTACCATAGTCAAGAGGTATATAGCTTTGAGTAAAACACTTCTACTAAAAAAGAAACGAGAATCTTTCAAACAGTTCTGCGAATCAGTATCCAGGGAGTCATCATTAGGAATGATATGGGGAATCATAAGGCATTACGACAGAGCCATTAATTTCACTGAGACCCAATCATCTACAGACTTCGTATGTACCCGGGATTTTATATCTCACCTTTGTCCGGAGTATGTGCCTAATTTGGAAGATGTTGAAACTGGTATAATTGAAGAGTCGGACATTAATATAGGCAAACCATTCAGCAGAACTGAATTAGAGTTAGCTCTGAAATTTAAAAGGACAACATCCCCCGGTTCAGACGACGTCAGTTTTGCCATGTTAAACAACATTTCAGATAGTAGCAAAGACATTCTGTTGAAAACCTTTAATAACATCTTGAATGGAGGCAATGTTCCTAATGTTTGGCATGAAATACAGGTAGTTCCGATTCCCAAAAGGGGGTAAAGACCTATTTCCCTAATCAATTGTTCTAAGAAATTACTCAAAATAAAGGCACTGGCGCGTCTGGAGTGGTGGATATTAATCCCGTTTGATGCTTGACGAAACGATGTTTGGATTTAGAAAGGGTTGTAGCGTGCTGTGGCAGCAGCTCCATTTAAAAACATAAAATTGTAATTTATTTGTTATTATTTTTATATTTGCACACGATTGTTTTTGAAGCAAACCATAACAGACGCAAAATAAAAAGTCTGCCAAAAGTTAATTTTATAATTGTATTATTATGTTGGCTAATACTTCATAGCCACATTTGGTGACCCCGATCAAAGCAACTCGCAACCTGGTAGATTCTTCCCCCAGTCCGATTAAACCAACTCACAACCTGAAAATTGTCCCTTCAACCCGACTAAACCAGCCAGGCAAATGAGGTTCAACTGAAAAATTCAAGAATCACCAATTCAAGAATTAAGAAGAACCCAAGCAGAATCCATTCAACCGATTGAGGTCCAGCGAACATACGCCCCGATGCCCCTCGCACTCTATAACCGACTAAACGTTACCGTCGTCTAATCAGACTGCGCTACAGCGCTGTAAGTACTTTCAGTTAACCACCTATTTAGAATAACAGAAAGAGGAAATTAGAAATTTTATTTTTATCATCCAAATTATTGAATCCGTTATAAATTTATGTCATACAATGACATATTTCAAAATCATACAATAAAAATAAACAAAATTTTATCATTTTTAAAAAGTTTTTATTAAATTTTTCAATCGTAAATAGAGTTTCTTAATAGAAATTTAAATTTTGTTTCAATATGGCGACCACAGATAATGGTGTTCATTAATAAAAACAAAATTCTTTTGGCCTCATATGTCGAAACAAATTCGTATTTGGACAAAATCATGTTTACAATGCCAGAAAGTTAAGATACAAAGGCATACAAAATCGCCAATTCTCAAAATCAAAGTTCCAAAAGTTCGATTTGAACACATTCACATTGATTTGGTTGGCCCACCTGTTCCATCTCTTGGATGTACTTATCTGCTCACGGTCATTGAGCGTTTCACACGGTGGCCAGAGGCTTTTCCTCTAAAAGATATTGTCACCAAGTACGAATTGAGCGCCGTTCGATCTGCTTGGCCATTGGTCGTCAACCCTACCTACGGATCGGACGGTCGCCAACCAACCACAACGCCCGGTTGATAGGGTTTTACCCAAGGGCGCCTATTTAAGGCGGCCGGGTTTCCATCAGCGGTCAATTCCAACCGAACTCCGAAGCGACAACAACAACGACAACGATAACAGCGACAACAGCAGCGACAACGATAACAGCGACAACAAGCCAGCACTTCAACCGCCAATTCGAAGACGACCCCTTTCGTCTTAAAAAAACCTTTGAGGGTTTTTTTTTTGTACATATTTTTGTAAATAAATTATTTCGTTTTATTCAACAACTGTTGTTTCTTCTTCGGCGCAATCCATCCCCCGTAACAATATCTCTGCAGCCTCTATTGCAGATACTCTTTTCAGGCATTACTTCAGCCGTTTCGGTATTCCTACCATGATC